GCTGGCAATTAGGTGGTAAATTTCTGGAAAGAAAGTTCAAGAGGTTATCTTTCTAGCAACCCATCTCTATACTGAGAAATAGGAGAGGTCTATAAAAAGGTGGAAAGGTGACTATGTGATTCACATTCACTTGATATCCTTCAGGAGAGAAACCTCTGCATTCCAAATCAGTAGATGAGCCAGGCCCTGGATCAAGAGGAAAGTGTGAGCAGTGGTGATAAGAAACTGACTGACTACAGTTTTCATTTTTATATTTAGTATAATATTTTATACTTCCTTCACTATACAAATGTTTCTGGCAGACAGCTGGAACCCTGATCTCTCAAGGCTAAAGGAATCAAATAAAAAAATCCTAATTGGTGGAGGCAGGGGATGAGAGACTTACCAAAACTATACTTAGGAACATTCTCAAACCTGAATTAAATTAAATATCTAATCAGCAAATTCTCCCTGAACACTTCTTTCTTGACACTTCCATCTGGACACTGCGTCAGATACTTGGGTGTAAAGAATTCTCTAACAAATAGGAAAATACCTCCTCATAATCCCTTCTGGCTCATTTTCCATCATGACAACACCAAAGAAGAAACTGTTCTGTCAGAAAGGCTTTTCTAGTTGTAGTGTAAGATGAATTCCTTTTGTTGGTCTTTAAAAGGACTGACATGATCACTGCTTCCCTTGCACACTTGGACCCTACATCCTAAAAGAAGTACCATTAAAAAACATTGTAAAATGACAGGCATTAAAAATTCCAAACTAAACCAAAGTTCACACAAACACATTTTTACTACATGCCTTAACAAAGTATGCCTCATTATGCAAAGCGTTAACTGCAAACTAACCATATCTCTTCTTGATTCAATATAAAAAGCAAAATAATTGAAATACATAAATAACACATTTTTTCAGGTATTTCTTCTTCCATAAACCAATGTTCTGTTCTGCCCTGTCCAAAATACCTACAGCTTAGCTATGTAGTTGGGCTGTACTTCTCTGTACATATTACTTTGTTGTTGAAGAAAATGTGCGTGCTTTCAAGTCTGTTACAACAGTGCTGTGATAAAGGAAATGTCTAACTCTTCTTGGTAGGATTCCTGTGTCTTATCAAGATAACTCGTGGCTCTGCTGTTTAACCTGCTATAGAAATTCCCCTCCTGTCAGCTGCTCTCATTTTACTTTGTTCAGCTGAGAGCTCTGTCACGTGCAGCCTGGAAGGATCCAGCTGAGGTAACCATACAACTTCCCTATAGCCACTGTCCAGACCTGCTGCTTTGTTAAGGGTTATCAGCAAAGCAGCAGGGTCAGCAAGGGGAAGGTACGACTATGGCCCAATTCATAGTGCATTCTATCAGTCTTAATAGAGGATTAAAGGGAATGTAAGTTAGGACACTGTAGCACATATTGGGTTACAAAATCACCAGCTTTTTCCTCCCTAAATGTGGGAACCAGTACTTGAAACTATTTGGGAGAAAAAAAAATCCTATCCAGAGGAGGAAAACTTATAGAGACAGGAAACAATGCTTTCCAAAAGCAGGGAGGGAGAGCGAACTGCAGTCTGCTCTGACTCTACATCAGTTTAATCTGATTTGTACAGGTTACCTATTAACAGGAAGATCAGGAGACAACTTTGCACTTCCAGCCTGTGCACAAAATGACAGAGCAAATTTCACAAGTTTTCCCCTCCTGAAATCTGACAAAATAGTGCTATTTCAGCTTCAGCTGTGATTTTTTTCCTCCTATATTTAAAATTACTTAAATAAAAAAGTATTCACAGTTTGCCAGCAGACACAGAAAATAGGTAGATAAACTGACTGATACATGACAACTTTACATAAGCACATTATCCCTGAGGCCATGCCCAACAAAATGACTGGAGACCTGTTTGTAGTCAAAGTGGCTATACCACACATATATATGAGTACTTACTAGTTGAACCAGAACTAATTCTACACGGAGTTATAACAATTGTTAGCCAAATTGAGTCTGCCATGGCAGATGCTAAAATAATTGCTCAGGGAGATTACAGGCCATATCCAAGCAGTTAATTCATTAAAAGTGTAACATTCAGAGTGGCAATGGATGAGCGGACAAAATGGTAGCAAAGAGAGCACAGTTTTTTAATCAAACAAGCACTACTGCCCTCCTCCCTCATCTTCTAGTTCCCTATTTGTATGAACAATTCGTGCTTCAGTTAATGCTCAAAACTGCATATGTTTGCTTACTAGCTGGCCTGAAAAAATTTCCCTATGTCTTGGCTTTGGAAAAAAAACAGCATTTTGCTAGTGTTTTGTATAGTCATCAGTATTCAAATACACGAAGTCACTGTCCCTGCTATAAACCCCTTGCATGAAAAGGTTGAAGTACTGTTGAAAAGCTGTGACAGATACTGGTTTCAACTGGCAAGATATTTCAGCAAACAAACAGTCCTCAAAGATTCTCAGAGGTGCTGTCTACAGAAATGTCTGCATGCATACTTGCAGAAATAAAAATCATATTCCTTGAGGAAGGCTTTTTTTACAAAGGATGTTTTTGCTTGTCTCAACTAAAGAAGAGAAAAACTCCCAGCTGATTTGTCTCCCAGTATGAACTAACCCTTGGTTCTACTCAGATGCAATTCCTAGTAGAGCAAAGGTTCATTTAGGTCCATCAAATTCTACAAAATAGAGGTTATAAAGGATGTTATCAGCAAATAGGTCACATGCTGGCTGGCTGCAAGGGTGTATATATCCCTGCAGAAAGGAAAGTTGCTTGAAGGAGAAAAAGAATTGGTTGGACTTCGGATTTATTTTGCATTTTTCTCTGAGTTTTGAATGCAGGTTGTTAAAATCGGTCTATCCCCTAAAATTGGTCTATCCCTGAACATTGATAACATTTCATTTGGCACAACTGACTGTAGAGGAAACAATGCTTGACATAAACCCAATAGAAATAAATATTAGACAAATATACACCAGACTGCTGCATAACAAGAACTCCAAACTAACTTTTATAAATTTATAAACTTGGAGGTGTGCAAACGAAAACAGTAAAATTAGCTTTGCAGCCAGGTTGCCATCCTTACCTCATACTGAATAATACTTCACCTCACAAAGCAGACAACTCATTTACAGTTCACCATGATGAAACAGCAGAAAGCCCATTCCAAAATGTGAAACAGAAAGGCTTTTCTATAGATATCTCATATCAGAACCAGCAGAGTATTCTGAGTTGGAAGGGATGCACAAGGATCATCAAGTCCAACTCTTAAGTGAATGGCCCGTACCAGGATCAAACCCATGACACCGGTTTTATTAGCACCATGTTCTAACGAACTGAGCTAATCTCAGATGTTATGCAGAAGTTCAGCAGAAATGATTAAGGAAAAAAAGTCTGTAGCCACATTCCCAATCACACAGGGCTATACAACCAGGTTCTCTTGAACTGCTTCTGGAAGAGGCTGCCAACCCAACAAAGGGTGTTGTGGTGGAGACAGTATATGAAACCCCTTTCTATTAAACAAAGAAATTGGTCAATTTGCCACGTACATCATGAATTTTCTTAACAAAGAAAAGAATTTTCTTAAGGAAGTTTTGTAGAGGTCTAAGAAGAGCAAGAGCACAGAAAAAAGTGGGTGATTCTAAATATCAAGTAGACTTTGCAGACTCTTGGACAAACAAATGAGAGAATCATGGCCTATCAGGCTAGAAATTACAGTTTTGCAAGATAACTTGAGATGAGAGACATGGGGAGCTGGGAATGATAGCTGCACTGCAAGCAAGCCAGTCAGTGCCATGGGAGGCAAAAGCATCCCCTCTTGTATCTCCTCCTGCCTCAGCACCACCAACCATCATTGTTGTTCTTGTCTAGGTAGCTGCTTTCACTAAGCAAAAATAGCAACTCTGCTAGTCCAATCTGATCAGAAAGCAATTTCTGAATGAAATCTTTTTTGGAGACTAGTGCTGATTTACCTCTTTATAGGAAAGACAGACATTTGAAAAAAGGGTTGACAAATTTTCACAACTCTAAGTGTTTGTTTTTGAGTTCAGGATGATTTAATTTGTCAAATATAACTCAATACCCCTCTAAACCGGAGTTTTCTACAAGATACTTAAATGTCTACTTTCAGTTGCAAGAGTCACCATCAGAAAGTCATAAAGTAAAATCATGAGATGACTAGTGTTCTAGTACATATGTATATTACATATACATATATATATATATATATATAAAAAGCATATACACTATAATTAGCTGATTAACAGCCGGTGTGGTTGCCATGCTTTATGTCTGTAATATTTTTCCATCAAACTCTCAGATTTTGACACTAAGGGTGTTCAAAGCGATGGCACTACCGTACATATAGAGATAGGCAATTTCCAAATACACATACTGTAACCTCCTTTCTAATCACCTGCTGAAAGACAGCATACTGTGCCACTCAAATAATGTTTACAATTAACATGCCTCTTCAAAACGGCCACCCCAAAAAAGAAAGACTATTATCCACTATCAACAGACGAAAAGTACAATCAAAAGTAGTCACTACTGTCTAAAAATGAGCCATTTTTCCAAAGGGTTTACCAAATGCCTCTTCTTCTTCTTCAAAAGACCTTGCACAAATCAAAAAAACACAAACACAAGGATAGTCTAGTTTGGACATCTAGCACATTTCTGATATAAAAGTTAAGAAAACAGACTTATTTTTATATAAGCTTTTCTAAGGTTATCACTAGACCAGATTCCTTATCTCGAGCTTTTCTAATTTTTTCAGGTATATACACTCAGTCTGATCTTTGAAGCTGAGCTTTTATTAATTCTTAAACTGCACCTGATATATGCGCAAAAAATAAGCACTGTTCTGGCAACCACCTTCTCCTCAGGTCATTGCTTGGTGAATTTTACACAGCAACTTGGAGATGAGCAAATTGAACTGCAACAACAGTTCGAGAAAATGTCTGGAAAATGCCTCACTATATCATGCATTCATTTGACGCTTTCCCTACGGACAAGAAGCAACAGACCTTACATTAGGGTCCTGCAGGCTGGAGGTCTTACTGGGATTTACAAAAGAGGTCTCTTCTTTCACAGCCTGTTAAAAGAAGGAGTCAAAGTTTAGTACAACATCCCCATACACTTAGGATAATACAACAGTTTACTAAAAAAGTAATTCCTGTAAGCACCCCAGAAAACTGCAGTACACAAAATGCCTATTCTGCCCAGTTTTAAAAGGCATAATCTTCTTGGTTTTTCAGCTTCTACAGTTGAGATTCACTGTGATGAGCTACAATGTACAATGTGCAATGTGCAGGGCAATACTGTTAAGGAAGAGATTGGATAGGGATACAGGAGGAGAAAGAACACTGACATTTATGGTTCGTCCACAAAGCATTTGAGCAGAAATAATAAAAAATCTACAAGGGCAAACGTACTGTAGTTGAGTTGTTCTTTTAATTGAACTAGAATAAATATTCATGCAGTATAATTAAAATAATAATGTCAACCTTTCATTTAGTTTTTTCATTCAGTCATCATCATCATCATCATCATCAGCCACTGAAATACACAATCCCCTACATATATTCACACTGTACGTAGAATTCACGGAAAATCTCACCCACTACTGCTCTCCTGCTAAATTACAGAGTCCTGTATCTCACATACCATTTGTCTATAGAGTTGAAAATACTAGCACTGCAGAATAACTTACATGGAAATTGCTTTATCACCCAGAAAATGCCCAGTTCGGGCAGGTGTTGATATACTCTTCAACTGAGATGCAGTGTTCAAAAAATCATGTGTAAATGCCAGTGTCAGTACAACAGTGCACCCCTCTACAGAGACTACTGGCTGAAGACACAAGAGTATCTCCAAATCAGTCATGGACTTCTCAAATTATGACATTTGCATTCTGCTAGATGGATAGAAGGGAACTAATAGGGTCCTACAACAGAGTGATTTTCCAGTGTTCAGGGTCTGAACCATAGTAATTGAAGGCCATTGGTCCAGATAAAATTTAATCAAATGTGTCAGTCTAATCCTCTCAAAAAAGGATGAAACAGATTTATTCAAATCCATCAAATCCAAATCAAAGGAATTTACAGGCATGTAAAAATATTGTAAATTTTACAAGAGACCTTCCATTCAATACAAATTGTTATATTCCATTTGAGCGTACTCATTAGAAAAGGAAACAAAATAAAAGCCAAGTTTCATTTATACCTTAGCAATGAACTACAAAAATAAAAATATCAGTAGGGATACTCAATGCTCAAGGAAATTGCCCAAGCTGTAATAGTTTTAGGTTTGTTTCCCCCTTGTGCTGGAAAGAACAAAACCCTCATTGCCACTTCCCAGATCATTATTTACCAGATCATCAGCCATGGTGGGAACAGACTGTTCCAGCTTGTACACACAATTAACTGTAGGGGCAATTAAACTGGAACCACTGGGAACCTGATGGAAAATGTACTCTATCCTGGGCGTACTCCAACCCAGGCAAGCACCTGAGGTGATGGGTTAGACAGCATTTTGTGATAAGTCCCTTCATATGAAGTCTCTCTCTTCCTATCAGAGTTGTTGCATCTTGTATATTGATACCAAGCCCACCATCAGCAGAGAGGGAACCCTCCGAGCCTCATGAGCAGGTTTGTCCCTCTCCTAGGGCGCTAGTTTCCACCACTGTAACTCAGTCACCAAATGTTTTGCAGCTAAGGTTTTCAGTGAATTAGTGTCAAATCATAAATAACTTCTGGATCAGGAGTGCAATTTCTAAATTTTAATAAATTCACAGCTTTAAGAAATTCAGCTCTCTCTAGAAAACTTTTTTTACTGGTCTTTAAGTAGCTCTGTATAGCACACTGTTTATTCAAAACCTATTGCTTTCTTGAAAGAAAATGGTTTTTTTAAGGACTTGAGAGAAAGCATTGAAAATCGTTCCTGGCATAGATGAGCAATGGAAGCAATATTGCTTTGTTCTACTGAAATTATAATGCTTTTTATAAAGCTGTTTGGTTTCTGAAAGCTGTAAACACGAATGCAGCTGTCAGAAACTTAATACACAGTCTCTTCTTCCACAGTGATGTCTTAACAACATTTTATTGTTAAGCCTGTCAAGTTAGCTGATTATTATGTGTCAAATTGGCTATTTTTTAAAACTACAAATTTTACTTTATTCCAATTTTCACCAGATTAATTGATATGCATTTTAAGATGCACTTGAAAACAACAGTAGAAAAGAGAATGCAGAGATCAACAATGCAATGCAGGGGTTGTGATCAGTAATGAAATTATTAAAATTCCACCTACTTAAATGCTGTAAGCCATGGATCTCATTAGCCAGTTGAGAGGGCTTCACTGTACATTAGCCCCTAATGGCTGGCCCTTGGTTTCTTCTCAGCTCTGGGAATACATTACTGCTCTCTTTTGCCTTCTCTGCATTGGAAGACTAAGCCTGCATCTCAAGAACTCATATATTCCTAAACGGCATGATCAGCATCATGAGGAATTTCTCTTGGTAGTAATTTGCTTCATTATTACTCATGATTTAGAGAACAGAAAAGAATTCTGTACCCACAAGTAAGTACTGCAGACCAATGAGCAAGTAATCCCACTCTAAACTGGAAGGATTGAGGGAGCATGGAAAGAAATGGAGAGGCCTAAACAGCCTCAGGTGATGAGGCATGACCTCAGGGTACCACTGGCTGTGCATTGGCAGGTACATACAAATAAGGATAGGCTAGTTCTTCTCACTCTATGCCTCTTCTCCCTATCTATGGATGAACAGACATGGGAAAATGTTATACCTGCAAACACTTCTGCAAAGGGCTTCAGCCCTCAGAAACTGTACCACCCGTGCTTCACTCAATGGCTTGTTCGCTTTTGGTTTGTTTGTTTCTTTGTTTCAGAAGGAGGTCAGTAAATCATCAGGCGGCAGCATGTTTCTTTTATTTTTCTTCTTAACTCCGCAAATCACACTCACTAACCACACAAGGACTCCCTCAGCCTGACTGAAAAGATGTGACTGTAAAACAAGGTTTATACTAGTACACAGCTCTTACAATATAATTCCCAGATAGTTTGCTTTCATTTTAAAACAAGTGCACCTGCTAGGGCCAGGATTTGGATTTCCATTGCAGAATGCCTTCCATCAGTGGAACAAGGCAGTTAAGCCAAGGTTAGCAGGAGGTACCTGCTGGTGAATCTTCCTACAGAACAGGGCAGAGGCCATCACCCACTGAAAGCCCAGCACTGAGCTGTGTAAGAAGGACAGAGGCAGAAGCATGGACATGTTCAGATCTCTTTAACTAAGGCAGATTCTCCCCTTACACAAAGACTGTTGCTCTGAGAGGGAGAGGTTTCAGAGCATAGAAGACATTGAAACTTCATTTATACATAAGCAGATTCATTTACTAATTACCCAGAGATAACCAAGCTGTCTCTTCTGGTTACCAGACTGCAAACCAAATAAAATTAAAGGTTGATACATTAAATCCATCCACACAATGCCATTCTCACACCAGGGCTAGAGCAAAAGAAAAATTATTAATATTCCACATTCATATGCCACTAACTTTCTGAATGGTGTCAGAAATAAAGAGAAAGCATTACTTTATCATATTAGAGACAAAAAATATGCCTGGGCAGCAATGCCATTGTAAAAGCTCTCTTCATAGATGATTGCTAAGAAATACTGTTTTCATCAAAGCATGAAAATAGGAGAAAAGTATGTAAGTAATACCTAATTTTGCCCACAGTTATCTAAGCAAACCTGCCTGACACTTCTCAGAGTGCATTTCAGTACACTCCTGAACACTCATAAACCCTGCTGCTGTCCCAGCAGACAGGTCCTTTGGAGCCTTAGAGAGGGGGCAGATGCTCCAGGGATGATACACCAGAGTCTGCTGAGCTTTCCAGAGTGGGTAGGAATACTTTCTGCCCCCTGGGAGCAACTCCATGTATGAATTCATAAACCCTGGTGGCTGGATTTGCCTAGTGAACAGCAGTTCTTTCAGTTTTCTTCTGAAGGAAGAGTTAGCCCCAGGACGATAGGGAACAGGACCTCAAAAAGGGAATTGGTTGTACTAGACTTGTACCAAATGGGAAAACCCAGGAAAGACAGAACTTTTACTGCAGCCTTCTGTGATTCTGCACAGACAATTAATTCTGGTTGCAACTGTGGGCTGGTTGCTTGCCTCCAGCAAGGAATTCTGCAAGTGGTGGTCCTCCAGCAAGGGAAGCGAGGCTGTGTTCTTCATGCCTCAAGCAGGTACCATGGGGAGCTAGTGCCCTCTGTGTCTCTCCTTTATCACAAGGGGCATTGCTGCAGCTCTCACCTCTACTGATCCAAAATAGGAATATCTTGAATAAGCAAAAAAACTGCACGAAGAATCGGATCACTGCAGCCAAGGGGGAGTATCAGGTTCTCATCTGAGAAAGACAAGGGTCTGGAAGGTTCATATGAAACATATGATGGCTCTTATTTAGCAATTTCACAAAGTTGTCAACTGCAGAAAGGAAGGGAGAAGAACAGAGCTTTCACATGTTTGGAGATCTTCAAAGGTAAGGAAGCAATTACTCTCACTGCAGCAGCCTGGAAATACTTCTCTATCTTGGATCTTTCTGAATCTGTAATGATGCTAAGGAGGCCTGAAGCATACTTGATTTTTCAGCTCTTTATCAAAATTTTTGTCGTTTGTCAGCCATGCTGAATGTTGGCTGATCTCATCAGACAATACAGGCTAAGCAACATATCATCAGGAAGAATGCTCTGTCAAGGTAAACCTACCTTTGTGATTCAATATGTCAAATGTATCCTTTCAGGCAGAAAAGTATCATGGTTATGTCTCTTGGAATCAGACTACTCTGTTTTTGTCCTTCTGAACAAGGCTTGGCACCGCAGGCTGTGGCAGGGCTCTTACACAACGACCCAATTAACAGTACTTGTCTCAACATGTACTAGCACTTACAGACATGGTAGATAGGAGACATAGCTGACATACCCACAGTGTGCTGTCAGTCTTGTGATACCACAGCCACATTTGCCTCCAGTATTCCAGGGAATAAATTAAAGATTTCCCTTCTCCCACATTC